ACTTGAAACTACTCTGATGAATTGATTTGAATTGTTGTGATTCTGACTCTGTAGAACTCTACGAGAGACCAGATAAACGATAAACTGACCAGAACAAAAGACCTGCCTCACACAGGACTCACAGGTTGCTTGTTGTTTCGGACCACTTGAACAGCATGCCTGTCACAAGAAGTCGTCCGTGCTGGGCTCGGAAACTCCCGGAGCGGTCGTCACCCTGGAGCGGTCTGACTGACGACCACTCCGGACTCGCTTCCGCTGAGCGCGCGCCTCACGAGGTTCTGTGGAGCCCCTGACATAGAGCCTGTCATCCACACGAACCGTTCGATCTCATCGCTTCTAGTAACAAGTGCCTTACTAGTAGTAACAAGGACGCTACTAGTAACAATATATAAATTAGAATTTTAATTTACTCTATTTTAATTTAATTCTAATAGCTTCTTGTTACTACTAGTAAGGCACCTGTTACTACTAGCGTGGCACTTGAAACTAGAATCCACCCGAACCGTTCGAACTCACCAGGTCCTTCGCCCCGCAGGTCTCACGGACCGACGCGGACCGTCCGGGAGACCCCATCCAATCGTGACAGGAGGGTTCCAGCGCTCCCTCTGTCCCTCAGACCTGAACCAAATCCAGAGCTTCTAAATGGGGATGGATCAAAAAATGGGGATGACACCAGGTAGGTCCACCGAGGCAAAATGAAGATTCACATCTGTTAAGCATGGCAGCAGCACTCATACTTGGGTTCGACCTCTTCTCCGCCGTCAGCCATCGTGGACCTTTCACCCTGGCGTCAGCTGTGGCGTGTGACCACCCAGCGCATCCATGTTCTTTGCCAAACACCCTAAAACATGCAAACATAAAGTGATCCGTTCACACGCTTCCGGTTCGCCTAGGGTTCGGGTTCGGTGGGCCGATTTCTTCATACCAGTTTGCCACCAGTTGTCAAGCTTCAGATTTGTCACCAGAGGCAGCCTTCACTGCCGGATCCATCTGTTTCAATCTACTGCTCGTTCTGCCCTTTGGGATGTTTGACGCTCCTTCTGCCCTTTCGCCCTTCACCAAAACAGGTTCCACGAAGGTACTATATAAGGCACTTCCTCGATGTGTAGTGGAACGAAGCATTTCTTCGGTCAACAATAGGATGGGTAAGAAGCCACCCACTGAGATTCGAAGTGTTCGCTTTTCCTTTACAAAGTAGAGGCCTAGATTTTTCACCACAGCTGTGAGCAAATCATGCTGGAGTTCATCGTTCGACTGCGGCTAAAGCAAAGCAAATCCAGCCTCCTTGGCTCCGTGTGCAATGAGCTCAGAGCCAGGACCAGTCGCGGATCGCCAGGACCATCACAACAACCCATGACCATGTGACCATGTGTGTGGATCGCCTGTATCGCAACTTGGCTGCATGGATGTTCATCCTGCCCAATCCTGCTACTATGGTTTTGTAAAGAAGCATACGTATCAAGACTGTCTTTGTGCAAAGGAAGACCCGTGTCCAACAGGTGCCAAATACATCGCCAAAAGACTGATCGCGTCTGATCGCCCTGTTTTGGCCCGGAAGCGGCAATCGCCCAAATGGATAAACTGTCTTGTGGATCATCTAGCCTACTTCTGCCTCATGTGATCGTAGCTAGAGACTGTCGATAACTAAAGACTGTCGTAGGTAGGTCCAACAAGAAACAAAACATACAGTTGTTCCTTAACACTAAATTTATAACAGTGTCTTGAACCTCCAGCATGTTCTTTGACTTGATATATTTTTTGCTGGTGATGCAAGCAACCACTTTCGGTAACACGTCTGACACACTAGCGAACCAATGAACCCGCTGGATCCGGGTGAAACTGCGTGAGACTTCTGCAGTTGAGGCGGTCGTCTGGGTCTTGGTCAAATCTTGTGCGGCACTCGGTCGGCCCGTTATAGCAGTTCCCCAGTTCCCCCCATTGACCGCTACAACCTCCGCTCTCATGCAAATCAGCTTCGCTGTGGAAAGACCTAGCGCTCTAGGTCCAAGTAGTGAACATCTTGATCAACGAGTGATTGAAGCACAAGACTTGGGTGTAAAAGCTGGGTGGATGCGTTTTCACACTGAGCTTGGTGTTGCTCGCATCTCAAAAATTGGCCCTTGCTTCTACTTGGGTTGTCAATGGCGTCTGGATGCTCTTGTTCCTTCTTGCTCCGTTGCAACATGACGACCGCTCGACCGCTCGACGCGTCTACCGTCGTGATCTACGTCGACGTCTACCGTACGCGCGACCTCGCACCGTGACTTCAGCGACCTCATCGAAGCGCGCGCAGAGCTCTTGGAACTTGGCGCTCTCCGTAGAGGTCCAAGCCTCAGACGGACGACGGAAGGACACGGAAGGACGCGGGCGGAAGGACGTGAGGGGATCGTTTCTTGGTCTTGCTGACTTGTTCACTCCTCACTCAACCATCACCAACTGAAGAAACACTCAATTAGAAAGCTACTAGGGGCTTCCTGGCCTCACTACCAGGAGCAAGGACGCTACGAACGGGGCTCCTGGCCTCACTACTAGGAG